ACCCTCCGATATCGATATGTAGACGACATAATTATTTGCTGGACTGGCACAAGGAGACAACTGTTAGTGCATGCAATTGAGGGAGGGCGGGAGGTGCTCTTAAATCCAGGTAAGACACATCATTGTATTTATTTAGCGGAAGGTTGCGAAGAAATTTATATTTTTATTTTTTATTAAGCAGGCAGTCTTTTGTAGACTATTTAGTCCATCCGCAGTCTTCTTGTGGTTGGCCTTATTACACCAGGCAGTGGAGGCTTAGGTGATAATCGGTCTACTGTAAATCACTATACTGCTGTACAGCCATAATATCAAATTGGGACGCAAGTCCCAATTGTTCCAAACTATACGACTGCACGTACCTAAAACAATTTTAGCCGTATGACATACGTTGCTAAGGTGAGAGTTCCACGTTAGTTTTTGGTCGATTGTTACGCTCAAATACTTAACGTTTTCGATAATCAAAAGAATCGGGCGTTATTGTGCGGAAATCCATTAAAGTTGTAATAACTTAACTTGCTCATTTCCGCGTAATGAAATACAATGATGTGTCTTGCATGTCTTGCAGACAGTCCGAGAGAGCACCCACCTCCCAACCTCCCTCAGGTGCGTGCACTATCCACCACCACTCTCAGCGCCACCCCTCCCAAAACAACCACACTAGGAATGACACATCACCCTTGATAATTTGACATGTGTTTCGCCTTTACACGAGGCATCATCAGATGAAGTAGACTCTACGGAGGATGACACCATCTTCATCACCACTTATCCAATCACCAGCACTCCTAGCACTCTCTCCGCTCTCCACACGCCGCTATTTATATAACTCGTTGATCAGCGAGTTGTGTAAATAGCAACTATTTCGGCTCGCCGCTCACTTAGCCTTCCACCTGTGGTTGCCTCGTGTAGTGGCGAAACACGTATCTTGTTATCGAGAGCGGTGTGTCGTTCCTAGAGTGGTGGTGTTGGGTGTGGTGGTACTGGGAGTGGTGGCTACGGGGACAGTGCATGCAATTGCGGGGGGTTGGGAGGTGCTCTTCAGACTGGGTAGGACACATCCTTTTATTTTATTACGGGAATATGAGCATATTAACTACTAATAACTTCAAACATGGATTGAAAAATGCCTGAGAATATTGAGTCAAATTCCGTTTTCAACATCTTTAATTATTTACCTGCCATGGTCGCACCATTATTGTACCCTTGACCTCGATAATTATTCATGTCTAATTCTTGTGCAATTGCCACACCGCACTGGGCCCGAATGACGGCGCCCAGTGCAGCCGTACCGCTCGCACCGCCCTAGGGCCGCCACTGTGTTTTACATATTGCCTCCTAGCTAAAACGGTTTTAACAGCGACAGCTGTAGCCACTACGTTTTTTCTTATTTTGGCTACAATGCAACGGTTAAACTTTATACCTTTATGTGGTCTTAAAACTGAATATAATATGTACGGTTTCCTAACAGTAAGTACATTACTTATGGCATAAAGATCTTCTGTAGGGAATCTTTTTGGTTTAAAATGCATAATTTTTAGTAAATTTCTCTGTGCCCTTTCAACTTCTGGAGATTTGGTTTTTGTAGATCGATTCCATACAGAAATACAATATACTCGTAGTAAGATAGATTGAGCCAAAGCAATATATATTTGGTATAGTAACTTTTTCGTCTTAGTGTTTTAAATGTCCATGTAAGTTTCCTAAGTATATTCATGATTAATTCAATGTGTCTATACCATGACAAATGATGGTCCACTAAGACTCTTAAATACTTGGTCTCTTAAATACTCTTAAATATATATATTAGGCTGTGTTCAAATATAATTTGTAAAACATATATAACTAGTTTTAAAAGTGTTTAAAGTAAATAGGTTAGTATTCAGCCACTTAAAGATCTTAGCAAGGCCTTTTTCAGCAGATCTACGAACAGAAAACTAGGAGTCAACAGTAATACTGCAATATCATCTGTATAGGAAATTTTGATAAATCACATTTCATACCCCAAGTTATCAATAAAAGAAGGTTAGCCGATACTGCTGTACCAACCTTGAACTTGTGGGAGGTAATGTCTATCTGTCATTATATCAACAGATTAAATAGTTTTATTATTACACTTGGCACCAATATTATTCGTTTTGGAAATATTTTAGAATTTCGGCAAGTGTACAATTAAGACTTCTTGTATTTACGCGAGCACTGCACATTAAATCAAACTAATTTTATGAATTTCATCGGGTTAAATTTTGACTTTTGATTCCCGACGTTTTTGGTGCTTTACATTACAACTTTAATGTCGCATCTTTGACAAATGCGACACGTGCTGAGGCGGCGCGGCACAAAAACGACCGTATCTAAGCAAACAGACTGTACGCCAAGGAAAATTAAACTAAAAACCTTAAAGTACCTTGGTCGTTAATGAAATGAAAACTAAGCAGTTGATGAAATACCATGCTAGCTGCCAAAGGCCGGCTATGTCAACTACGGGGTCGATGCTATATTCGATAATTTCGATGAAGCTACCGACGAATTTGTGTTTTTATTGCTTGGTATCAACACAACGTGGAAAGTACCCATAGCCGACTTTTTGATTAAATTTGAATTAAAATCTGAGCTTGGTCAGGCTTTCCAAAAACTGGCCATAATTATATTTACTAATAAAACCATAATTTTATTAAGCTCAAGTGGCAATGAGCTATCCATATAGTTCGAAGAATCGACAACCGATGGGAGGAAAAAGGTTCTCGAGTGGCAGCTTCGTACCGATGGATGAAGTACGGGGCTACCCCCCAAACGATGGACTGACGATCTGGTAAGATATACAGGAACTCGATGAATGCAGGTGGATCAGAACCGTGCTTTGAGGCACCTCTTGGGGGAGGCCTATGTTCAGCAGCGGACTTGTGAAAGGCTGTAGGTAATGAACGAAAAAATACTAAAATTTACTTTTACCAACGCTGAACTTATGCGGACTATGATGATTTGGTTATCGATAAAAATATCGACATAGTCCACGCCTTACATTACTTACGCGTGTAGACAGCGGCACCAGTGTATCGACACGTGGTCTAATTGATGATATGCGTAAATGCAATGAACACAAACACAAAATGCTGTAGTGTGCGTGAAAAGTGACGCGATTCAATTTTGCATTTGTAATGAAGTATACAGTAGTGTGTTTTTCTTGCACCCCTTGACATTGACAGACTTTTTATTTAGGAGTTAACGCGCATGGCCATCTCCAGTTAGTTGAATACTCAAATATCTCAAAAGCAGACACGAATGCTTTATCTGGTCAATCCTCTATTTACGATACACAGAGTACTTTTTAGGTACCTATATAGTATATAATAAGTTCTGTGGTTTCGAGACAGATTCTCTGTCTACGTGTGATTTATTTTGCTGGTTACACCCATAGATAATATACTATGTAGGGCAGTTTGGTCCATAGACGTACCTATATAAATAAATGTGTATAATTCGGTAGAATTCACTATAGTCAACCAAATCTAAGAAATACCTTTTGACGTTTCTCATTAATCATTCCGCAATAACTTCGCACAAGCGTACTCGTACGATTTACAATAACCCTTTACCTAAATCCGAAGAATTATGAAGTTATCTATATTTAATTACAACGTGTTTAGTTTTTTATCGGTAATTTTTCGAATCTTTCAAACAAAGCAAATTATTTAAAAAATAACCAGTATTAACTTTTTTACTTGACGTCGTTTCAATGATATGTCGCTATGTGCCTTACCGTAGTGTTTGGATGGTTAAAATCACGTTGTTACTCTTATTAGTTTGTGGTTAAAATTCATTGATATTCGAATAATCGGCAAAAAGATTAAAATAATCGTTAAAAACATTCAAATAATCGAATTATTGATTTTTAAATGTATTATTTGTTTAATTAAATTGTAGTTTTCAAAATGCCTTAAATTACATGAATCATGAACAAATATAAGTACCATGTCAAAAACTATGATTGGGCAAAAAGTGGTAGAAAAAAAAAAACAAAAAAGATAATGGATGACTTTGAGACATTAATTTTGACTGAATTATGGAAAATCAAATAATAATTAATCTAAACAACGACAGCTCAAGTAGTTGTACTGAAAGTGATTGAATAAATTTATTTTTAATCTAGTTTCAATCTAAAAATTTTATAATTGTGCCTCTAGAAATAAGTAGTTACAACAAATACGAAGAAACTGATAAATATTGTGTTTCAAATTATCCATTTTTAATTTATTCTGGTATTATTCAAACCAAACTATAAATGATTACTAACTCTAAGTAATCGATGTCGATTTTTTTAATAATCGAATATTGTAAGTTCCCATTTTTTGGTTGGCATGCTTGGTACAATAAGTCTGTCAGCTGTCAAAATGTATTTCTTAGATTTGGTTGACTATAGTTAGTCTGTGTATGTCGTAGACAGAGAAACCTATAGACAAATTGACGCCTTCTTTCGCATTCGCACACGAAAAAGATGGATTTATGCATACGCCTTGCATAGAAATGAGAAAGAGCGGTGTGATTGTTTGTCCCTTTCTCCGTGCCGGTTTTTTTGTTTAGCAAACTCTACAGGTTGCTAAACATTGCGATTTAAGGACTTTACAAGTTGGTTTAAGTGAGAAAAAAAGTGTTTTGTGAGCTTAAGATTGGTGAATCTTGTTCAGTTCAGTTCTTAGAACAATTAAAAATGTTATCTAAATGTGTTTAAAAGTCATAAAGATTATTCTATAACCTAAAAATTCGTTATCGTTCTTTCTCACTCGAGGCCACGCCGATTATTAGTCTATAGGTTTCTCTTTCTACGGTGTATGTATTATACGTCTATGGTTAGGCCTAATCAATGTCAAAGTCAAAATCAAATTTTAAAGTCTATCTAATTTTATTATTTACTACTATCTATTTTTAAGTATAATCTAAGAAAAATAGTACACAGTACGGTTAATTTACAAGAATATGATCAAGTTACTACGTTGATATTATCAATGGCTTGTAATTCTTGTTCTCGTGCATTTTCACTATTACGTCCTGAGGTAAGAACTAAATTACGAGTACGTACTATATTTTTTTAAATTTTCAAGTCTGATAGTGCATGTTTATTCAATTCGTAATATCTAATTTGTTTTCCTATTATTATATATGTGACATTTTCAGAAAGGCTGCCCTAGTTGTGGTTTTAGTTATTGTTCAAAATGTTTAAACAACAAAAAATTCTTAGCAAAAGTAAACGCTGAAAAAAAGGTTTGTATCCTCCGAAAGAGCCTATGAACGTAGTTCGGAAATAGTTTGTATTTGAGGTAACAACAGTAACCTTTTTCACAGGTTTGTGCTAAATGTTCAAGAAATGAGACAAAAATCATTGAACCACCCGATGTTTTCTACAGGCAAGTGTACTTTTAGTAAATGCAGTTATTGGATATTATTGTTTTATTATGTAATGATTGTCCATAATTTTTCAGCCGTATTGCTAAAATTAATGAAAGTCAAAGTGATTGTAAGGACAATACATTTGTAAACACATCTGAACAGGAAATTTTTAACAGACTACAAAAATTAAAACAAGACAAAAAAGAGAAGATTAAATCTGATAAGGAAATATTGGAAAGACTACAAAATTTAAAAGGGCCAATGCCATCTACATCTGATGCAGAAATATATTCAAGATTGGCAGAAGTTAAGGGTATTCCAAACATCACAGTCACTAAAGAGGTATGTACAACTAAAATATAAATAATATGAAATATTTAGCGTCACTTACCCCAAATGTTATATTAACCCTTTCCCTGTTCCATGAATTATAATATACTAGCTTGTCAGGCAGACATTGTTCTGCCCTTTTCGACGACAATTTGTCATTTCCTATTAAAAATCCTTAAATTCGCAAAAAAAAAGTGGGTCACTCATGGCCAAAAAAGCTATCCTATCTCTCAAGTTGGGCCAAACTGCACACAGTGTGCAAATTTGATCAAAATCGGTTAAGTAGTTATGAGTCCATCGCGGACAAACAGCGTGACACATAATTTATATAAATAAAGATGAACATTTCAATTATAATAATAATATTTTTTTATTTCCTTAAACTGTACAATTAATTCAAAATAAATCAAGTAACATTTAATAATACAAAACAATAAAACATTTATTAAAACAAAAAAGAAAAAAAAACTATATATATAAACTAAAAATTAATAATTAGAGCAAAAAAGTAAGATGAATGGTGGGGCTCTTAGGCGCCTTCATTATTGTCTATTGAATTAATGTACCTAGTTTAAGTCATCTTCCTAGCTGGGTATTCAGGATCATCTGATGTGTGGTTGCTCGGTTTTTTTAAATGCAGGCATGTTGCACACTTTGCTGGATCAGCTTTCTTAATGGAAGCATTTGTCTGACATTCTAATTCATCACAATGTCTACATGTGTCGATGATTTTTTCGGCAAGTTCTTGCAGCATGTCCGTACTGTTGACATTAGAAACACTTGGTCACAATTGTGAAGTTTTGAACTGGGCGCAATGTCCAATTTATGAAGACTAGCTGCTGGTTGATAAGCTCCTTTCTGATGCGAGCTGGCACTTCCAAAATAAAGTTGCTTGAAAGTGATTATTTTTTACCCGATTTATGACCTAACTTTATACAGGACAAAAAGACTCCCGCGTTAAGTTGGGGAGCTTATTGGCTAAATTTTGTTTAAAGATGCAATCAAAGACTTCTCTTTCTCTAACAGCGGCAAGTATACCTAAAACCAATCCTTGGTTTCTTTTATCTTGGGGATCCTCCACCTTTAGACCGGAACTACTAAGCTGGCTAGATTTTTTTAGCTTCGCAATGTCGTCCATTGTTTCAGTGCTGATAATAACGCCTCCATTTTTTATAATATATAGAGCATATAATTTTTTGGACAAGAGATTTGGTGTGTTCCCTAATTTTTAATTTATTCTCTGGGTAAATTGCAATGGAACTGAATGTTTTCGGGAGCAAGTAATTATTTTTATTTGTTTTAACCATATCAGCAAAGGACATTTTTTTAACGGCGGTTTGGCACACCTTTCTTTAATTGTTTCCTAAAGAGATTTTCTGAAATCATTAAGGCATTCCATTAGGTCTTGTTATCTTTCAGTGCTTCAAGAGACATGTGTATAAAAATAGCATTTTGCCTCAACAATTGCCATCTGAGAGGGGCTGCATTACTGACGTTTCGCGATAGGTAATTTATTCTCAGCTTTTGTTCAGAGTCAGTTTTCCTTCCTGAGCAATATGGCAAACTTCATTAAGGCACTATTCGATTGAGGTCACCCAATATTTTATTTTACTGGTGGCTAAAATTTCAATGGAGCTTGTAGCATTATGGTGTAGGTATAATGGTGCTTCAGTTGAAAGGGCTACTATTTACGTATGCATTAGACATAATTTATCTTACATGTTTTTCATTATAATTTATTCCCTACTGTAAATTCATTAATTAACAGAAATTGTCCAATGACTTATCTAGGTCACAATTTTTTTGAAAATATTAAACACTTGTATAATTGCCAACAAACACGACTGCTCAGTTCAAGGTAGTCAAGATTACGGGAATGTAAAATGATTTTTTAAAAACTATTTAAAATCTATTTTATTTCTAATTACAAGTAATAACCATAATTACTTAATTAATGCGTCTTGATAGAAGTCGATGTCAAAATGAAGTGGCCGCTCCCATGAGCTCTGCCTGATACCTCATGCAACCAAAATTGCTGACTACAGTTACTGGATACTGTCTAATGCTTATGCAGCCCCCTTTAAGTACGAACCGTAGAAACCCTATGGTCTTGTGTTCGCTTAACTCCTCCCTCTCTAAGAGAGGAATTATCGGCTGCAGTGTTTTCAGCTGTTGTCCGATGATTCCGCCATCTGTTAACTAAATGACTTTTACATTTTCTTAAAACACTAAGGATAATAACGATAGGTAAAATAACATACAGTAATAAAGTAGCTAAGCTAACACCTCTAACCCTTATCACACTATTATCACTTTGTTCACTGCCGCTGAATCAAAGATTTTGATTCAACACATATGTTAGATGTTTCAGGTCGTCTAAGGCTAAGCCTTTCAGGTTAACTGCTCCAGTATCCGTCAGGATCAGGTGACCCAGTCTTGGTAAGTTTATTACTGGGGTCACTCTGTAGCCCAATTCCTTCGCAAAGTATAGGCGGTGCAACAATTTATAAATATCTATGAAGGTCTCACAATCCTCACTAATTTTTATGATGTATGTGCCCAAAAGTGATTCTTTAGTTATGTCATCCTGGCATTTGTTTCTTAAAATTATTTTATGGTTGGCATATATAATCCAATTTACAGGGCCGATAGACTGGATTTTGACATCCTCAAGATCAACGAGCCGAGGTTTGCATAGTGTGAGATTGTTTTGGAATTTCATCAGTTGTTCAGCACATGTGTTTCTAGGATAGGATACCATGTTGGAGCTCATACACAGGAATTCATCCGCCGCTATTTCGGTGCACGGCCAGGAGACCGGTAAGTATTGTGAACCTTACACCAAAATGTAAGGATACTTGGGAATTATTACAGACTCTCTGTTTCTAAGTGCATCGAATACAGGTAATGGGTATAATTTGTAATAATTGTAATTAAAACTATCAATAAGTGGAACTTCCATCAAGTACGTAATCTGGTTTGCTTTCATGTAAGCTTTTATAACAATAGTTTTTTCAATTTTCACTAAATTCTCTACATTTACAGGGTACACTAGGTTATCGAATTTGGCTATATTATTAAGTATCACTAACAGTTGAGATGAATTAATAATTGATTGGTGTAATACTGAAACTTTGCTAAAAGCTAAAGCGGTTTCTATTTCACTAAGTTTGAGGTAAATACTACGAAAATTACTAATAAACATATTGTACATGCCTAAAATATATGTATTATAAATTATTTTCTTTGGTAGCTATGTATTTTACTATTTGTTCAATTCTTTTTAAGCATTCATCCAATATAAGTTCATTTTCATGTAAAGTTTCTGTACTATTCGCCAAGCTATTCAGCATTTATAAACAACGGTAATTTTACTATCAACACTTAATTGGTTGTTCTTTAATTTAGATATAACAGAATCGTATCGAAGAGCATCTTCGTGATCTAAATTGCCGGTGATTGCTTTAATGATTGATCCTAGGGGATCTATGAGACCTCTTTTAAATCGATTGGATGGTATAAGTTGCTTCAATTTTTCACTAGTTAAATCGCAAGAATAATCAGCTTGGATTTTCATGGCTTGGAATTCATAAGCATAAGGTTTATTTATATCAACTAACCTACTAAAATCTTTAAACTTAATAATATTTAAATCTAAATTTTCCTTAATACCTAATAAGTTCACTTCTTTAACTATAAGCCACCGGCTTGTTTGCTTAAAAGCTTGGCCTTCTTTTACAGGAAGCAGGCCCGGGTTTCTGTCAATTTTTTGAAGTTGAAGACTGCGGGTCCAAAGTATATGAGCCATTGTCAGGATGGCCACGCACCACCTGTGGAGGTCGTTTTAAATTTTTAATAGGGACCTTTGTATCCCGTTCACCTATTTTAACAGGAACGATATTACGTACCTTGAATAACAGCTTTCCTGTACCTAGGTTTGTCCTTACTTTTCCTAATATTGATGTCCTTTACGTACGCTATTTGCCCTTCGTTGAGTACTACCTTAAGCTCTCGCATTAGTTCACTGTTAAACTTTTTTCCAGGGTCGCAAGTTATCTTTTTAGGTACACCATAGAATGAAAAGTACTTTATAAGGGCTCGAACTACCTCAGGTGTGGATCTATTTGAGATTTCAAATGCTTGACCTAATTTACTAAAAGAATCGATTAAGGCAAGAAAATATTTATTTTCTATAGAAAAAAGATCTATGAAAACTTCCTGAAAAGAAGAATTCTGGGTCTGTGTTAATTGCAAAACCAGTTTAATTGGTTTTCTATCATATTTTGAAATTTTGCAGGTATGACAATTATTAATTACGGCCGAAACTGTTTCCTGCATATTATCCCAAAAGTAGTTCCTATGTATGCTTACCATGGTTTCCTTTATACCACGGTGACATGTTTTACCCTCGTGATGTTTTAGAATTATTTCCCTCTGTTTGGCCTCGTCTTCAACGTATACGACACATTCTGTACACTCGAAGAATTCTACAGTGCCCTTTTTAAATAGTTCTATGATAGTTTTGGAAAATTGTTTTCTATGTGATTCGTCATCAAAGTAAATGAAGTATTTAATCTTTGGTTTTACATATTCTTTTAAAAATTGTTTAATTAAGTTTTCGTTATTGATAGGTAAGAACACTTCTAAAATTTTGTGCTTTTTATTTGAAATACTACTTATACTATATACTTTGACTTGCATTTCATTTCTAAACCAAGTGAATATAAGTATTTGATTAGGCTTAGTATCTACAGCTTCCCTTAATATATATATACCTGTAGATTCTAATTCTAACGCTGAGTGTACTGTTTCTGTGCTAATAGATGGTACGGGATAAGTTTGTTCTGTTATATCTATTGGATCAGATGCTGGAAGAGTAGATAGGTCAGACACAGTTATTGTATAGGAGTTCTCATTTGGTTTATTAAGCTTTGCTATGCGGTAAATTTCGTCGGTCAAGCTGTCTACATAGTTTTTAAGGTTTTTGTCTGTATCGTCTACGTTTACTTGCATTTAATCAGTGTCATCGTTGGAATCACATTTGGGTCCTCTGCTTTTCAACACCTTCATCAATGACATCCCCAGTTGCTTTCAGTTCTCCATACCATTTATGTATGCCGATGATTTGAAATTGGTTGGCATCTGCGAAACTCTAGAGGACATCGAACAGTTTCAGAGTGATGTTGACCGTATGATAAATTGGTGTCGAGACAATGGTATGTACCCGAACATAAACAAGTGCTACCATATGAAATTCAGTAGAAAGATCAAGTCACTGAATTCATCATACAAAATTAACGGCGACATCATTAAGAAAACAGAGGAAGTCAGAGACCTGGGAATAGTGTTCGATAAAAAATTAACCTTCGTTCCCCACATTGAGAATAATACAAAAAGGGCGTATAGAGAATGCTAGGCTTTGTTTTGCGTAACGCTAAAGTGTTTAAAAATAATCACATTAAGATCCTACTGTACAACAGCCTCGTACGAAGCATACTTGAGTATTGCAGTGTAGTATGGCGGCCACATTACGCGACACACTCCTTACGATTGGAACGTCTGCAAAAAAAGTTCGTGGCAAATTTGTCCTATTGGAATGGGATTCACAAAAAAATTCGGTCTTACGAAAAACGATTAAGATTCTTTAAAATATTATTCCCTGGAAAATCGGAGAAATTTGCTTGACCTGTCATTTCTTGTTAAAATTTTTAATCAAAAAATTAACTGTCACCTCTTGCTCCAAAAATTTAAATTTCGTGTTCCATTGAGAATTCCTCGCGCCCCCATTACTCCACTTTGCCCTCCTTTTAGGAAATCTGTCTTAGGTGCAAACTCCCCAATTCCAAGGTTGTGCAAATTGTTCAATGGACATAGTGACAAAGTTGACATTCATGCCGACTCATTTGCCAAAATTAAGAAAGTTCTTGCTTTAGCCTGGTCTGAAACCAACAAATAAATAATAATAGTTTTTTTACCACATACTTATTTTCATTATTAGGTAATTTATACTTTTTTTATTCGTATTTATAATCTTTCTCGATGCATGTGGTGTTTACCTTAAACAATTGTTACACTTAGCTACGTAAGTTACGAGGGTGGATTGAAAAGTACTCGGCCTAACCAAGAAAATAAACACATACTAAATCAATTATATTTTTATTTTTCTACATAATCACCATCAAGTTCAATACACTTTTGCCACCTCCCCTTCCAAGCATTTAGACCGTTGAAAAAAAATGATTCTTCCTTAGAGTCAAAATATGCGTCTACAGTTGACCTCCCAAGTACTTTTTTAGGTTAGGGAACAGAAAGAAGTCTGATGATGCCAGATCTGGTGAATACGGCGGATGCGGTAACAGTTCAAAGCCACAGTTGTGAATTTCAGCCATTGACTGTACTGACGTGTGAACACGGGCGTTATCTTGATGAAACAGGACTTTTCTTCTGAGCATTCCTCGACGTTTTTCTTTTATTTCCTCTCGTAAACGACGTAGTAAGGTGCAGTAGTAATCAGAGTTTATAGTCTGACCCCTTTCAAGATAATCAATCATAATCACACCTTTCGAGTCCCAGAATACTGAAGCCATCACCTTATTTGCCGACAAAATCGACTTAGCCTTTTTTAGGGGGTGGTGAACCAGGTCTTCTCCACTGTTTTGATCGTTGTTTTGTTTCCGGTGTACAGTAATGAACCCATGTTTCGTCCATAGTAACAAAACGATTCAAAAAATCATCTGCATCGGCTTCAAATAACTCCAAACAGTCGCGTGAAATAGTCAATCGCGTCCTTTTTTGTTCAACTGAAAGCAGTCGCGGAACCCACCTCGCAGACACCTTGTGGAAACCAAACTCGTTGACAATGATGTTTTGAGCTCGTTCATAAGAGATGCCTATAATCTCGGCTATCTCTCTAATTTTTAATCTGCGGTCTCCCATTATTAAATCAAGTACTTTTTTAATATTTTCGTCAGTAGTTGACGTCGAAGGCCTTCCAGAGCGGGGGGCATCTATCACACTCCCTCTCCCACGCTTAAATTCTGCTATCCATTTTTTGACGGAGGAATATGACAGAGCACAATCGCCTAATGTACTGACCATGTCATCATGGATGGCTTTTGATGATAGTCCCTTCTTATGGAGGTACTTAATGACGGCACGCTGCTCGATTTACTCCATTCGCGGAAATTATGTCCGATTACTTTGTTAATAAATTTATAAAATCACAACTAATTATCGCACACGTTTCAAACTTTACACAATGAACTAGTCTGAACTGAACTAAATAATGTGGGTAGATTTGATTTTTAGAATTGAATGGATCTGTGTTAGGCCGAGTACTTTTCAATCCACCCAGGTAGTTCTTAAGCCATTTTGTTAAATACAGTGTAATCAAACATTGGTAAACCTTAATAAATTTAAAAAAAAGAATCTAATGCGTTTAGTTTGACACGAGATAGGGCATCAGCGAGTTTCGGGGGTTTTGTTGAGATGTTTATGTGAAAATTTTCTATATTTTCCGTCGTCTTAATATTATTCGTATCTGCCACGTTAGTCTTAGTTTTCGCGCTAACAGTTTCTTCGGATTGATATTCGGGGTAATAATAAGAAGCGTCATTAGGATATTGATCGAAATAATATGGGTTTTCGTAGTAATACATGTCATTATAATCATTCTCGTTTAATTCTAATTCATTTAACCTAAAACCTTGCTGCGGTCGTGCTACAGGTGCTGTGCGCATCGACACAAACATCTGTATTAGTTCGCGGTTGGTTATGCTGAGGGGCATTACTATTATTATTGTATCGCTGTTGCATACCGAACTGTTGAGGACGCATCGAAGGTAAAGGGTGAAGGCCTACAGGTCTATAGTCAACTTGAGGTGGACGATATCCGAATTGCATTTGGTGGTTATTAGGTTGTGGTGGTTGATAATAATTTTCGAAACTGAAATTGTCGCTGCTGATCTTGAGTGGGAAGCGGTATCTGCACCTGCTTATTCGGTGGGATGCCAAAATTATATCTAGGTGGTTGGTTCATTTGCATGGGCTTAACACTAGAAAAATGTTGAGGTTGAGTGTTATTATTACCGAATTTAAATAATGGCGATGCGTTATGCGATTGTGTATGAGATGCGAGATTGGATCCAGACATTTTGTTTCTCATTTGGTACTGACTATGGAAGTTAACTTCTTCTAATACAGTGGAGAGCGCATCCTCTAATGAATTTGGGGCCTTGAGACGTACTACTCTAACTTATTGTTCCGGTAAATTGTACAGGAAAACGTTTAATGATGTATTTTCATAAGTAGCCTTTTTACTACAGCGCATATTTGAGTCCGACAACCGAATAATAACTTTGGCTATTAAAATTGATCTCAAAGATTGAATTTGACAGCAAAAATCTAAAACTTTCTCCGGGTTTAATTCTTAAGGTCTTAAGTTCGATATTTAAACACTCCTCTCACTTCGCGAGTCTCCAAAATGCTGAACTAATAATTGCTTAAACTCATCCCACGTTTCGATATCATCGCGCTCACCGACTAATGCAGCTGCATTGCCGATAAGGCGACTTGTTATTGTATTCATCACGTACAAATTCTGTTCCGTCGTGCCAGTAAATTTAGCTATAACATATTCACACTTTCTTAAAAAAAGATTTAAATGACGTTTATCTCCATCAAACGTAGAGATGATTTTAATCATTTCACCGGGAATAAGTCTCCATAATTATGTATTAATTTACACACACAGACAATAAAAATAAAATAAAATGTAAAAAAATCTAAATATCACACAAAATTATTAAGAAATAAAATGTATATGCTTAATAAAACTGTTTATTTGTAAAACTATAATTTGCATATAATTTGTAAATTATGAAAATAGGTAAAACTTAAATTATTTATTACATACAATTATTTATTTAATTTTCAAACTATTTAACCAGAATACGTTAAAATGAGAGAAGTTCGATCTCAAGATAACGGAACGTAGAGGTAGTGGAAAGGATGGTGAAAAGTTCTACTCACCAGCCGCCAGCTGCTCTCATGGTTCAGGATCAGCTCCGCTTCCTTGACAAATTTCTTTTGGTTCGAGGATCGTCTCGGTTTTTCTACGCGTCGCCGACCTCCGATTACGACAGAAATTTATATCGAATTCGCGAAGGACGCAACACTACCGAAGTGTGACGATCCTACCGGCTGCGCCAGTCAAGATTACGGGAAAGTAAAATGATTTTTTAAAAACTAATAATAATTTTTTAAAAACTAATGATTTTTTAATAACTAATCTATTTTATTTCTAATTACAAGTACATATAACCATAATTACTTAATTAATGCGTCTTGACAGAAGTCGATGTTAAAACGAAGTGGCCGCTCTCATGAGCTCTGCCTGATACCTCATGCAACCAAAAGCGCTGACTCTACAGTTACTGGATACTGTCTAATGCTTATGCAGCCCTCTCTAAGTACGAACCGTAACAACCCTATGGTCTTGTGGTTGCATAACTGCTCTATAAGAAAAAAGTTACACAACCATTACTCCCACTCTGGGCCAGCCTCACTAACCACAGTCTCGAAATATTTTTTTCTTATTCCCACAGCAGGTCTCACTGTTCCTTCCCCTATTTAAGCTCTATAAGAAATGAAATGAATTGTTTAACAATTGAGTCAAAATTAATTGTTTAACAATTGTCTATATTGTGAACAGGAAACCTGTTAATGTTATATATTATGTGAAGGAAAACATCGCATGTGCATGTCTGATAAATAAATAAAAAATTGAAGACGTGAAGTTTGCCAACACGCATTGGGGTAGCGGGGCAGATATTTCCTTGTCCTAAAAAACCCTCTCAGCAATAAAGGGAGAACTGTGCGCAATTAACTATTTAGGCATTAAAGAAACCAACTTACAGGTGGAGTTGTAAGAGGATCCCTTGGTTTTTCCTTTAACTGTCTTAAATTAATCTTGTGGGTTCCTAAAAATGATATTATATCTAGTTTACATCAGAGGAAATATTGAATATTGAATTTCAGCCTGTTTTATCACCCCCTGATTTAAGAACAGAACAAGAACAAGCGGATGATTTATTGAAACAGTATATGGAGCAAACAAAAATAGATTCAAAATATAAGGATGGGTTTGAAGATACTATTAATAATATTGAGACAAGATTACACAAGTTAAGAGGCACCAGTACTGCGTCAATTTCTGTTGAAAAGCTTGATTCAGAAGATGAAGAAACCATTGTAAAAAAAATTATTGAGAAGGTAATGAACAAATAATAATAATTATTGAATAATGTAGTGACATTGAGTTATAGTTTTCTTGTTTTTATTAAGTTTTTCTGTAAGAGGGTATTATCCACTCAGATGGATTCTTAGGTAAAAAAGTTCTACCACATAACCAGAACAAGTTTACAATTCAAATATTAAGTTTAAAATATATTAGGTTGTGTATTATTTTATGGTCATGACTGTATAGTATATTTTTGTATTCAGGAGATTAAATATGACACAGACCGACTGATGGACCACGTCCAGATGACTCCGTGCTACAATAGGTCCCATCCGCAGAGATTGTGATACTTGGTAATTTAACGCCCACCATGCTGCATGGCTTAGTTCTTGTTTAATCGATCATGCGGGAAGATCTGTTTATGACTTTGCTTTGGCATATAGTCTGGTTACCTCGCCTACGCGGATCCCAGATGTGGAAGATCATGTACCTTCCCTGTTGGACCTTCTGCTGATCTCTCATCCAGACAGATATCAGGTGTCCGTTGATGCCCTTCTTGGCTCCTCGAACTATTGTCTGATTCGGAGTACGGTGCCACATACGCTCCCATCGTTGTTGCGTACTGCAGGTTGCCGCCGTGTTTGGCATTATAGGTCAGCCGATTGGGACGGGATGCGATCTTTTTTTACATCCTGCCCTTGGAAGCGAGTTTGCTTCTCGCCGGATGATCCCAGCGTTGTTGCTGATTCCGTCGCTGATGTAGTGCTACAGGGAATGGAACTATTTATTCCATCATCTCTGCCACTTGTCGGAGGCAGAACCCTGCCTTGGTTTGGTCGCTCCTGTAAAATTGCATTACGTCATAAGCAGGAGTGTTACCAGGCCTGGGATCGCGCATCGACGTCTCGGGATGTCTTGACTCTCTCTCTCGACTCTTGATGACGGGAGGAACACACCGCCGACCATCCCGCAGTGTCAGTGCTCCATGCAAGATGTGCTGTTTTCCCAACGCTCGGTCTGCAGAGCACTCCTATCCCTGGACATTAACAAGTCGAGTGGGCCTGATGGCGTCCCTCCTATTGAGCTGAAGACGTGTGCTCCGGAGTTGGCACCGGTTTTAACGCGTATTTTCCGGTACTCATACTCCCTAGGCGTAGCCTCGAAATTATGGAAGACAACTCATGCCGTACCTTGAGGATCACCAGCTGTTTAGTGACCGCCAGTACGGTTTCCGTTGCGGTCCCTCGGCTGGTTATCTTCTAGGTTACCTAACTCATAAATGGGCGAAGGCAGTTTTCTTGCTGATCGGAGCATCAAGGTCGTAGTAGACGGTGCATGCTCCGATTACAAGCCCATTAATGCTGGTGTTCCACAAGGCTGCGTGCTATCACCAACGCTGTTTCTTCTGCATATCAATGACATGTTGTAAACCGGTAACATTCATTGCTATGCAGACGACAGCACTGGTGATGCTTTATACACCAGCCGTGCCAATATTTCGCGGGAAAACGTCGCCGAGTACCAGAACAAATTTGTGTCTGAAGTCGAGACTGTTGAACAAAATCTCGGACTGGGGGCGACTAAATCTAGTCCAGTTGAATCCCCAGAAGACACGAGTTTACGCATTTACCGCTAAAAAGAACCCCTTCGTCGTATCTCCTTAGTTTCAAGGCACTCCCCTTGTTGCCTTAGCCAGTATCGGAGTTCTCGGCGTCGACATATCGAGTGATGTGCAATTTCGTGGTCAATTGGAAAATTGGCCAAATTGGCCTTTAAAAAGCTTGGCGTGCTCAGCAGAGCGGGACAGTATTTCATGACGGCTCACCGCCTGCAACTTTACAAGGCGCCGGTTCGGCCGCACGTGGAATACTGTTCCCATCTCTGGGCGGGGGCTCCCCAGTGTCAGCTCCTTCCATTTGATCGCATCCAGCGCAGAGCAGTTCGAATCGCTGGCAACAGAGCTCTTTCCTATCGGCTTGACTCAATGGCAATGCGAAGGGATGTTGTATCTCTTTGGCGTATTTTATCGCATCTACCACGGGGAATGCTCTGAGGAATTGTTCGGAATAATTCCAGCCGCACAATTTCACCATCGCACATCGACAAAACTCGCGATACCATCCATTCCATCTGGATGACTTGCGGTCCACCACTGTGCGATTTAAAAGAAGTTTTCTTCCTCGCACAACTTGTGGAATCAATTACCATCAGAGATTTTCGGGATCGATACGACTTAGGGACCTTCAAGAAATGAGCCTATTCCTTTTTAAAAGGCCGGCAACGCATATGCAATTCCCCTGGTGTTGCAGTCGTTCATGGGCGGCGGTAATCACTTACCATCAGGTGAGCCCTATGCTCGTTTGCCCTCAATCCTATAAAAATAATAATTAATGGTGGTGGTGTTAGAATTTCTACTACCCTTTATCATCCCGTGGAGTTCCCATAACCGTGCAATAGAGGGAAACTGAAACAGGAGATGGGCACCATAATTCTCTTGATAACAACTCAAAGCTTGGCAACTACGACAATCACACACACAATACACATGAGGCAAACTATGGGGGAGATCTATCTTCATCTGTGGACTTTTTATATAGTGTAATGAATGAAGGAGTGAAAATTTTGTAGGCTTGTCGATAACGTTACGACAGGACACGTGTTCTAGGTGACAACGCTAAAAGACCTCTCTATCCTCTCTATAAAAGACCGATCTACCTAGGCACCACCTTGTCGCCAAAATAACAGTGCTTTCACTACTGTGTTTCAATCTGAAAGGTACAGAGCTAGTATAATTACAAGTTGTGTGGCATTCAATCATATTTCTCAGGTGTCAACTTATTTGTAGCCTTCCTTGTTGGAAGTTGGCTGCAAGTGCCCATTGATTGTATGTTCTTTGTGAATTCGGTTTTATGAAAATTTGTAAGTGCGTGTGCTACGTTCATACGTTTTATTGCCTGCAACTGCAGCTACAAATTGTGTAAAGAATAGATAATTTATTTTTTCGACTCATCTTTAAAACATCTAATACGACTTTGCAATTAGTTCTGATTACCTACTGACTATCTGTAGTCAGGGTTGGTTAGTTGGGCATAAGCTCTACTTTTACCAACCCACCTGGCCAGCGTGGCGAGTAAAGGCAAATATTTCAAATTGGCAAATCGTACTGACGGAAATGACTTGAAACAATTGCCTATTCTGTCCTCCAAGGTGTCATCAATAGAAGTAATAGTTATAAAAGACTGTCAAAGAAGAAAAATAATCTACAGATCAAAAATGTTATTTTACTTTATTATGATTTTATAGCTTTTTTTAAACTGTAGCTCTCTTATTTTATAAGAATCACAGGTTGTCTGTTACCACAGAACCTATTGTAATATTGTCTTATTTTTTTTTTAGGTAAGAACAGATGCAAGTTTGGAAGATGAAATCTCTACAGACACAAATGATGAATTGCCTTTCTGTGAGATATGTAATGAAGATGCCAGAGTTAGATGTATAGGATGCAAGTATTTGTTTTGCATGAGATGTTTCAATGAACACAAAGATGACGACGATGGCTGCGATACATATGAAATTTTTAGTCCACTCAAATCAAAATGAAAATAACGATTTCTTATACGAAAACTACACATTTAAAAAAACTTGTTTATTTTATTTCCCTGACTATTTGAGTACTTCACATTCCTTGAGTTACAGGAGGACCGTTGTGCACCAATGGTATTATAATGTTACAATATTCAAAGAGAAATATTTTTATAATAGTATAAATCAAACAATATTTCAAATATATTATTTTATTTACTACACCTCATTTTAATTCATCTTTCGAATTCTTCTATTATGCTAGGAATTAATTTGACCAGATCTTCAGCTGTCTGTTTATACTCATTTTCAATCCAAATATCTTTTAACTTATTAATAATGGGCCCGTACATTTTGCCAGGTGGAACTCCATTGTCTTTAAGGATTTTACCATTCATAGGGAATCTTGGTATATCCCATTTGACAAAAAGCTGTAAAAGGGTCTCATCACCTTTATATTTAAGCAATTCTCGAGTATATTCTACTGCATCTTTCTGCTTCATTTTAGTTTTCAGTATTAATTTTTCATAAGGTCTGGAAGACATAACCTAATTAATTACAAAGAGACATAGATTTTAAAACAAATTAAAATGTGAAATACTTACAGTAAAGGCCGTGTTGATGTTTCTTCGTGTTCACCTCTGTGTTCCACTAGAAAGTATGCCATATCTCTGTCATACCCTGAGAATTTGAGACGGCTGTGAACTACGGTAACAGCGTCAATATCATTTAGAAGAGCTGCCAAATAACTCATTGGATGAAGATCCAAATGCTGACTTCGCTTCAAAAGTTTGTCCAATTCTTCTATATTTGGATTTGGTATTCCTGTTAATGGTTTGTTTTTATTAGCTTATCCTAAAAAACAACGTTAGAAAATGCAGTAGCGAACTTATAATAGGCCTTTTACCTATGAAATTACCGTTCTGCGGTACTGGCGATTTCAAATCAAAATATTTTTGTTTGGCTAATAAGAATTCTATTTTCAAATTTTATTATTGGCAAGGTAAAAAATTTGACAAATGGGTGCCCCACGAACTCAATAATAGCTAGCGCGAAGTACGCGTCAAGACGTGCCTTGCACTGCTCAACAGGCACAGAAAAAAAGGAAATTTTGTACAGCATTGTTACCTGTGACGATAAATGGATTCTGTTTGACAATCACAAGCGCTCAACAAGTTGGTTGGATCCTAGTTTAGCACCTAAAAATGCCCTAAACGAAAATTTACCCTCTATAAAAGTGATGGTCAGTTTGGTGGTCTAGCACCGGTGTGATTCAACACAGCTTCTTATTAAATGGTATGAGCATTACTGCAGGTGTGTACTGTAAACAACTGAACACAATGATGAAGAAGCTTGCATGTCTCAAACCATCTTTAAAGCTGCTCCTGCACGACAACGCGCGTCCCCATACTGCACAACAGACGGTCTTTAAATTACAAGAGTGGCAAGGCAAATATGCATCGATTGCAGCATGGGTGATTAATTGTAATAGAAAAAAATTACGTTAACTAATTTCATAAAAAACGACAGACGTGAGTGTTTATGTATAAAAAATGACAATTGCATAGGTAAAGGCCTACTATTTTCCAATTTCTGTAAACTCTATGCTTAAATTTTGAAAGCACTTCTAAATAGTGTGGAGCAAAACATGCGTCTGAAGTAGAACAAGCTTGTATCATTAAAGGCTATTATCTAATATATACTAAGGCTTATATCATTCAATTTTAATCCAAATTTAAAACAATATTTCCACAATTATTTCTTTTTCGCCTGCAATGCGCCGGGTATCAGCTAGTGTCCAATAAAATACTGTTTGTCCTATATGTGTCTCTATACCATTAATCCAATTACGATAAATTATTGGATAGATGTGCGCACCCGCGAATGTTTATTTAATATGCACTAGCGTATTTAACATTTATTTACATAAAATTTATAGCGGATGGGCCAAAAATTTTGCAAATAGTCAAACACTAAATATCCCGAAAATCGTTAAAATGTGACGGGTAGGGGAAAACTATATATCGCTTCATGCAATTTTAGTCACGATGAGTTCTTTACGATCCAATAGCGTGGAGATATCTGAAAAGTCGAGTGTACTATAATAAACCGAAGACAATATCCTGATTAAAACAAAACATCCACAAGGATATACTGCGGTTCTCCGCAACAAGTGTTAGCGAGTTTTGTAAAGGTTGCATAATCAATTGCAAAAGTACAAACAAGAGATGGGGGCACATCTCGACGGCGTGATTTTAATGAATGGCATTAGATCTTTGTTAAGTTCAAAAATAATCAACAAAATAACATTTTGTGATTTTATTTCTATTCATGTTTTAATATTGTGACATATTATGAGATATAAACGTTAGCTTTACCCGGCTACGCGTTACTGTAGCTTAAAACGTTTTTCAAAACAAGCGTGCGTTTGAATGCCACATGTTAAAATTTCAAAGCAATTGGTAAAGAATGGAGATTTAAGATTTTGAAGACACTAACATTAACTTTTTTGTTGATATCATACCTACATGTAATACTAACCAATATATTTTCCAATATCTACATTTAACATAGTTTTAAGTAAATCTCCTGCAAAGTTTCCTTGTAGTGTCTTTTTTAGCTCCATCCAAATTCTTTCTCCTGATATATTTTGCAAGCCACTTGCATTATTTTTAATAATCTTGAGAGTGTTTTCATCATGTTTGTCTGGTTTGTCAGCTATTCTACCATAGAACCTAAAATACCGCATTATCCTCAGATAATCTTCCTTTATCCTGATATCAGCATCCCCAACAAAAGCAACTTGCTTATTTTTTAAATCGTCATACCCAAAAAAATAATCATAAACAGAGCCATCAAAACCTGTAAATCAAAACAGAATAATATTTTGCATAAGCAATGTTTTCATTACAAGCCTATTAAAAAACAGATATTTTAATATAGCCTATCATAATCTATTGCGAACATAGCCACATAAAATTAGCCACAGATCACAAAACACAAACTTCACCACCTGCATGTGTCAACTTCCTGCATTCAATATTAGCTACAAAATGGTTGTCCTACACTAAACTTGATGATGATTGATGAGCCATGGTAGCTCAGATGGTTAACGTTCGCTGTAAATATAATAGAACGCGAGTAACCCGGTTTCGATCCCCACCGGCACCAATGAAATTGTTAATTGCAATTTTAAGTGCCGATTTACCACATGCTCGGCGGTGAAGGAAAACATCGTGAGGAAACCTGCATGTCTGAGGAATAAAGAAAAAACAATATTTCGAAGACATGTGAAGTTCGCCAACACACATTGGAGCAGCGCGGCGGACACTTCCTTGCCCTAAAACCCTCCCAGAAATGGAAGGAGGCCTGTGCCCAGCAGTGGGACGTATACCTATAGGCTGTAACCTACACTGTACTTATGGGTGTGGGACTGGCACTGCAACAACTTGACAGACAAGTCCTCATCAAGTTTCAACAACAAAAAAGATAGAGAGAGTACACAACATGAAATAGTATAAATTAGTTCAATAAATTAAACACACACTTAACAATTTTTTATAAAAGTTAGGAATTAGGTTTAAAAATATCAATTTCAACAAATAAATCCAGAAAACAATTTTGTTAATTAACATTTTGTTAAAAAACATTTTGATAATTAAAGACATGAAAATTAATTAACATTAATCACAATATACATGAAAAATGAAAATGTAACTGATTTGATAAGCACCTTCCTTACATAAATGCGTACATTATCACTCTCACAAATAATCTCAATACTTCACTAACATGGTGTGTATTGACAGATCATCGCACCTGATCTCACTCATCAACAGGAGTATAGTAGGTAAAAAACCTAAACCTTTAACACTGTTTTTGGATTTCGGAAATGTGCCTTTTGAATTAATTACGATAAAAATAAATTACACTGAAAATTGCTTATAACAATAAAATATGTCAATGTCTTTTTTTAACATGGATACACCCATAAAAAATGTAATCTAGACAATCTATTTGTGGTTGAAGAAGGGACTCATATAGAACAAATTGAGTCGTAGTGGAGAGCAGCCAAGAGGTTTTTCAGAAAACAAAATGATAATAATTCACATTACATTATTTCATTTACCACTATCAAAAGCAGAATTTAGAACATCCTGACTTTATAGATAAGATTGGTTGAATCTGTTCTAAAACCAAATCAGCACACCCCGACTCCATCTCGTCTTTTTGAAAAGCCATAGGCATGGAGGGAGAGCAGACCCCGCCTGCCCTAACAAATTGCAGGCACCCGTGCAAGCCATAGTGGTTGAGGCAGATCGTCGGAGACAACAAATAAGCCAAAGCTGCAGAAGTGAGCATGGGTGCCTTCGATTTGCTACGAAAGGGTGAAGGGGCTGTACCTCCCACAGCGCAAAAGCTGTTGCAGAAGTATCTTTAGGTCAATATTCCTCTGTATAAAGTGAGGTTACGATTTTACAAAAAAAACAATTACTCATAAACTTCAGTTTCATAACAGAGGGTCGCTCCTGCACCTAGCCACTCCCCCATCCACATACGCAAGTACCTGATGTCTATATTTTACCAAATATTTTACTCTGTCAGAGAACATAGTCCTTGGTGTTTGATATTTATTATTTTATACTATCCATTCCTGAGAAAGGGATTGTAACAGACAGACAAGATGAATTGAAAACATTGTGATCCTAAAAGGATCCGATTTTTCATTTTGTGGTATGAAACCTTTAAATATATATAAAATATATGATGTAATGTTACAAGCATAAAAGTTTTTTATTTTTTTATTACATCTAATCATTCATGCATCTCTTATTGAAAGTCATTTTTTACTTTCATCACTTGTTCGTAAAAAACCTCTATCCTGAGAAAGACTAGTAAGAAATCCAGCAGGACTTTTCAAATCAAATTAATTTAAAATATTTTTTTATACAATTAGTATGAAAACATTTAGGAACAACATCATAGTGATCATCTCTTTCACAGAGGTTATTATCAATTAGTCACAGTCAAGAGTACACTCTTTAGTAGTAAATGAACCAAGTAATATATACATAATATACAACTAAGTATAACTGCCAACATAAGTCGTGAGCACACTTTTTATTGGTCGATACGACATTGACCACTCTGACGTTCAACGTGATTGGTTCATTAATCGATTCTCGTCATCTATTGGTTTCGAACGTATCTTCGTTATAATTTGAGTGTTCAGATTTTGGTCTAAATATGCAGAGAAGGAAGAATTCGGTGTTAAATAGACAATCCCAACAAATTTTCTATTCAGTGTTTAGTTACATGAAAAAATTAGGTACTGCGAAAAACATCATAGACGTATATAAACAGACTGCTGAGGCGACTAATGTCTCAGTAGTTACTGTACGGCGCACTGCAACACCAGATTTTATGGAAGGCATATCACCTCTTCCTTTTTCTAAATAAAATAATCAATTCTAACCACCAGGTATACATTAAATACTTTATAGTAGATAATAAAATAACGGACACGAATATCTGCAACATTACTGTATCAAAGTAAAAGTTGATGTGTTCGAGTAAACATTTTCATAAAAGTCGCCGAAAATATTAAATTACGAATTGAAATAATAAAGGTATCCAATAATTTTGCCCGACAGTGTACCTACCTCCCACCACAGTTTATCTGTGCTCATCACTCGTGTCGGCAACTATATGTAAAACTCCAAGCTCAGAAGACTTTTTAGAAACAAAATATATTGCCATTATTTTATAAACTGAATAGTGGAACAGTTGAAGATGAATGAAAATGAGAAATAAAAGGATATAGGGTACCTAAAAACATAGAATTTATGGTGAGATCTCTCCTGTTTGCATCAAGTTTCCAATCTTTAGTAAACTTCACCTCAGCATGCCTTCCATCAGTGATCACATCCACTCTTAAAGTAGTAACTTCAAAGTTCTCCTTATCATTTATTCTTGGTGTGATAGTGCCATGCTTCTCACCACTCATGTTAATCATTCTTATATTTTCTTTAGTAAACATTTCTTTTAATTCTTGTGGTGTTGCAGTTGTTGCAAAGTCCAGATCTTTTGGTTGTTTTCCCATTAGTAAATCTCTTAAATTTTTAAAGGCCATAATTACTGATTGATTGACAATTATATATTAATTATATTTTTTTATTATATTATGTATTAATTATATATAAAGTGCATAGTGTGGATGTCCCTTATTCCAGCCCTATCCCTGATACTGCCTCATAATATACCACAATACACATAATGGGGCCACAGCATCCATTTACCATCAGGTGGACTGTGTGCTTGTTTTGTCATCTTTATTCTATAAAAAAAGGATTGTCATAAAGTAGAATAATAATCATTAATTAGAAGGTATCTCATTTTTATATAAAATTTAAGCATGATTCTGGTTATTTGACATAAGTGATTATGGTTTTTGAAATTGTTGAATAGGTAAAAGAAATGTTTACAAATATTACGCTCAATTAAAATAGCACAAATTTAATATTGAAATTTTCACAAAAGGAGGGACATCCACCTTAAAATATAGGTCTGATTTTTGTGAGAGATAAAATGAATAGATTTTTGCATTATTAATATAGTGGAAACTTTTTAGAATTAATGCGTTTATAAAATAAATACCTTACAGCTCCTCCAGCGATTCGAATTTCATAACGATATTTTTCAAATAAATTCATAAGATCCAAAACTTCTTGAGTAAATATATTCTTAAATTCTGGTGTATCAAGTTTTATCACAACAGGATCTTCTCGATATTTAAGCTCCATATCAGTTTTAGAACGAAGTCTTTGTGAACCTATTTCTTTTACTTTACAGTAATTCTATAAATATAATAAAAACAAATTACAACTAAAGTCAAACATATTGAAAGGTTATATTTTATGTATTGTATTGGTTTATAATGAATTTACCAACTTGAATAAGTCGTGATATTTTATTACTTCCTCGGGATAAAAGGTTCATAATTAAAAATCGCTTACATACACCATGTTTACATAGAATTTGAAATGTGAACAAAAGCTCAGCTTAAAGTAGACAATAGATATGTGTCAATACATGTCAATGTCAATCTGTCAAGTGTCAACTTTTTATTTTTTATTTAACTGGCTTTACGGCTCTGGGTACTAGCCGTTCTGAGCCTACCATTTTAGAATCTTCATTTTATATATTTTTTCTTCACAATATGCTGATGCGTCACATTGCGAAGCCCTTGGGAGATTTCGACGACAGCTCAAACCAGCGGACCGTTGATGACGACAGCCACTCAAGTACATAAGGTGCCTAAGCGATCAAAATAACTTGAGGTTTATATAAACATCAAAGCACTTGTTTCGTCGTTTTCTCTAATAGTTCACACGTGCAGACACTTAATTCACAAAATCACATCACTTTTATGAATTAAAATCCACTTCAAATCATTATTCAAGCGACAAAACAGGAGCGACAGTCCGTCGTCGGCCAAGTTCCGCCAAAACTCCCAAGTGTCAACTGTCGACCACAGAACAATGGAGGTTAGAGAGAAAGAGAACCATGGAGGTTAGGAAGAAGGAGAACGATCGGGACGTGCTAAAGCATTAACCCACCTGTCCCCGAAAATTTGTAGAATTTATAGTTTATTTTTCAGCTACCAGCCAGGCTGCCGTCGGTAAGTAGTATCTGCGAAGTTAGCTGTTTATGAGCACAAGTAGATGAAGTTAGTTGAATAATGTACAAATTTTCTTCCCGGCTATGGAGTGTAGAAGTAAGGACTACAGACTGTGTATTAAAAAGGGTCCATAGAAAACCGTTAAATAAGGGTGGCGCCACTATAGCTACGGGCTAAATTTTAAAGAACGTGCCGAAAAATATTAGTGGGATAGGCGACTTTTTCGAGGTTATATTTACTAAATAAAATTATTTTAGATTTTAGAGCTACTGAGCAGTTTTGCAGTTATTTCATCCCTCAGTGGGTTTGAATTGTTATTTACTGCTTACAGATGGCCACTTTTTCAACTATTCTACTATGGCAAAACGAACGTCGTTAGGAATTACCTCCTAGAATTTTGCAATAAATTTAACATTATAAATAAAAATCAATATGGCTTACAAAAACATAAATCGACTAACTTAGCTATTCATAATCTTATCAATACGTTGTTGACCAATATTAATGATAATTATTTGACTACAGGACTGTTTTTTGACTTAACTAAGGCATTTGACTTCGTATCACACAATCTATTATTAAATAAATTGGAAAAAATAAGAATAAGGGGTACAGCGTTGCAGTGGATAGCTTCGTTTTTAAAAAATCGTGCTCAATGTGTCACGATAACAAAATTGATCAATAAAGAAGTTAGAACACATAATTCCAACTACCTTGAAAATAATAATGGGGTCCCACAAGGCAGTATCTTAGGGCCCATATTGTTTATATTATTATAAATAATAATAATAATAATAAATGATTTATTTTCTCACCACAATATTACAGAATTATTGTACATAATATTAGAATATTACACCTTAATGTTATACTGTGGGAGACTGGTGCCTCAGCTAGGCTTCACGCCTGTATTTCGGCCACCAGGTCTCCGCCCTATGGTTGTAATTACAATACTTTTACTATGTACATGTACCATATTTGTAATTTACATAATGTACCTTCTTTTACTTAACTAGTATTTAATATATATTTAAATCTGGTGCTAATATTAGTCTGTGTGTGTGTGTGAGTGCGTGCGCGTGTGTGTGTGTGTGTGTGTGTGTGTGCGTGCTTTTGTTTGTTAGTAGTGTAGTAGTAACTGGGATAGAAATTAAATTTAGGATTGGGTTAGTATTTAACTTTAGTACGGATAGTAATTAGTTAGGATTAGTGAGTAGCTTTTCAGTTTTATCATAATTTAATTCTTGTAGCCAGATAGTTATTTTATTTTTGCATGTAGTCTTATTGACGTTATAATATAATATAGAGATAATTTTATTGATTTTGTTGTATAGAAAACCTCCGAGGTGACAAAAGAAACGTTTAGATAGTTTGGTGGATAGAGTTATATGAGTGCCGTCCACGGGGTTAAAACGCCTTTTCCCTCGGGAGAGTGAGGGATTGTATTTTAATAGAGCATGTTGTTTCAGTAAGGTTCTTTGTATAAAAAGTTGCCGTACAGTTAATATTCTCAACTCTTTATATAGGAGCTCTGTAGGATAGTGATACGGCAGCGAAAACGAGACTTTTAAGATGGCTCTCTGCGTTCTCTCCAATTGGAGCATTATTGATTTTGGAGCACCGCCCCAGGACGTAATACCATATGTTAATAGAGATTGGGCCAAGGCAAAATATACGGATTTCTTTAGTTTATCATCTGCCGCGTCTCTCAGAGTTTTAAATACATATATTAATTTACGCAACCTGCTATTCAGTGTATTAATGTGTTCATGAAAACGTAGAGTGCTATCGATAATAACTCCTAGATATTTTACTCTGTCAGCTTGACGTAGTTGTGTGCAGGTGTCTGCATAATACAATAGATAACATAATTGAATGGCTACAAGATCACAATTTAAAAATTAACTTGGCAAAATCAAATTTTTTTCAATTCAATACGTCAAAACATAACCAATACTTACAATTTCGAGCTAAATATTACAAAAATCGATGAAATCGAAAAAACTAAATTTTTAGGTGTTATTATTTATAGACCAGAGTCTGAACTGGAAAACACATATCGATGATGTTTGTAATAAAATAAACAAATATTCACACGCCCTCAACCGAATAAAAAAAGTGACAGATATTACCGAGCTTATGCCGAGTCTAAACTTCGTTACGGACTGGTGATGTGGGGAAATAGTTCGGATTGAAATCGGGCATTCCTTGCGCAGAAAAAGTGTATTAGAGCAATCTGCGGAAAACGACCTGACGAATCGTGTCAGCTTCTATTTAAAGGTCTTGGAATACTGCCACTACCAGCTTTGTATATTTTTGAAATTTGTATTTTTGTTCAGAGACACAAACAATTACTTGAGAAAGCTTGTGAGGTGCAGTCTACTCGCTCACGTAGCAAGCCAGTACTTAAGGGTATAGCTAAATCACAAAAATACGGCAAAAGTTGTCTTACCATGTGTGTCCGAATATAAAACAAACTCCCTAAGGAACTTAAAACCCTAAACATTACATTGTTCAAAAGGAAATTATACAAATGGCTCAACGAAAATAATTTGTATAGCGTAAAAAATTTCTTGGATAGTAAAAATTAGATTATGTATCGAATAATATTTATTGTATGATCTTTCATTTAAATATTATTGTTAAAGTATAGTTACAATATATCTTTAATTAAGTTATGCGAATATTTCACTAAGTATGGAAATTGACGATGCTAAGAATTTACATTTAATTAAACATTATAATACTTAAAATTAAAATATTTGCATGCTATCTAAAATAAGCAAAACATGAGCGCTCGTTCTTACATGTTAACAACATTTATACCATGTATTACGCAAATAAAGATTATTATTATTATTTTCCCAGGGTATCTATATAGTTTTCTCATCTGGTTGGGTTCCATAAATATATAATTGCGAATGAAAATGATAAAAATACATAAATAACAATAAAATAAAATAAATACATAAAAATACATAAATAAATAAAAGCCCAACCAGATGGAAGCCCTCGGCAGGGGAGACCAGACGGCCGAGGGTTAGGAGGAAAGGGAAAGAAACCAGTGGACGATGCGGGCAGTATCAAGGAGCACTGCCTTATGCATTTGAGCCCGGAGCGGTCCGTCACGGAGTCCCAGTCGCCTCAGATGACCCGAGAGGCTGACTGGGATTATCTCATTCGCAGAGACGACTACAGGAATGATTTCGGTCAGTCACCTCGCGCAAAACCCTCGGTTTCCCCGAAGAGGTCACCGAAACGTAGCCAGTTGAGGGAGGCGACTGTGTCTACGAAAGGTTCATGTAGAGCCTTGTAGAACCTCCCGTGGAGCTCCTTCTCCTTGCATACAGTCTCCCGGTCGGAAATGCTCTGTACTGCCGGTTCTTTCCATTGCTTGTTGGCCAAGGATAGAGGGGTAAGCCCTTTATCACAACAAATGACGTCCCTATAGAATGGATCATCCGATCTCGTCAGAAAGCGCGCTTAACAAGCCACGCCCACCTCATTTCCGCGGCAAGTACAGCCTTATAACCGAAGATCTCGGGTGATGCATCCTATAGGACGTCATAGTAGTGCGGACTTTTCTATCCAGGGCATTAAGTTCAGTCTGAGTCCACCTAAGTATGCCAAAGGTATACATGAGTACAGGCATGACCCAACCGTTACATGCTTGTGTCTTATTCACACCGGACAAAAGGCTGTTAAGCACTTTGGTCAAGCGTGCATAAAACACGTCGCAAACAGACTGTTTCATACCAGCCTCATCGATGCCGATGTTCTGTGACATACCCAGGTATCGGTATGTTTCAGCCTGTATATTATTATTATTATTATTTTTATTTTTATTTATTTCTCCCTCTGTATTGAAGGGTAGAAAACGGACACACGGGCCTTGACCAAGTGTGCACGCAGGAAAAATGAAAGAATTACAATGATGACGATGATGAGTTAAGAAATTTACGTGTGAGACGACAGGTGTTCAGTAGGACTGCTTTTTGTATAAGTGTAAGAGTGGATTTAGGCATTTGAAGCATGTTAAGGCTGGTTTGAAGGGTCTTTGGAACTACAACAGTTGTAGATATGATGATAGGAACTATTTTTACGAAATATACTTGCCATTGCCTTTTTATTTCGATAGCCAGGTCTACATACTTTGTCATTTTTTCCGAATGTGTAGTAATGAGGTGTGTGTGTGTGTTGCAAACTGCTATGTCTATTATAAAAACAGATTTATTAATTTTGTCTAGTATTGTTATGTCCGGTCTATTGTAATGTCTTGTCTGTTATAATTGTCCTGTCCCAATATATTTTGACGGAA